GGAGAAAGGGAGTCCTGACCCTCCTTCATCCATTTGTCTGAAGAGCTGACAGCTCACTGACTTCTCCAGCTGCTGCTCCTGAGCTTCTAAGAGATGCCGCCATCTTCCCACACCAACATGAAGACAAGAGTTGCTAAGAGAGGACAGTCACTCAGAGAGGAGGTGTATCCTCTTACCTAGCAAGCTGGCCCATTCCTGGTGCCTGGGGACCGTTCTCCTCTCTACACATAGAGGTTCCTTCTGTTCTCAGGCATTCCCAGTAACTCAGAATCGCTTTCAGGCTGCTTTTGCCCTTCTCCACGTCTGTGGGTGAACTGTGGGGCCCTTTCATTTCTGCTTTCCTAAAACCCCCCCATCCATGGCTTAGCTGGTATGTCCAGGAAGTTAGCTCCTCAAAATGTCTTTAATGGGTCTGAATTGTAAATAAGAGAGACCAGCATGTGCTAGTTGAAAATATCTAAAACTTAAGGAAGAGAGGAAGGAAGGAAGGAAGGAAGGAAGGAAGGAAGGAAGGAAGGAAGAATTAAGAAAATGAGATCTATTAAACAGCTATTTAACTGACATTGCAGACACTAACGTTCCATAAAGGAAAGACGCAATTATTAAAAACCAGGTTCATAAACATTTAAATTTTTCCTTAATTGGCCCCTGAGCAGGCCAGATGACTCACCATGGACCTTCTGAGATCAGTCTGCAGTCTGATGAGCTGCAACACATTTGAATGGCTTATTCTAGTTCACATGCAGCCCCAATTTTGTGTCATGTTATTCTCACAGAAACTTATTTGCTACAAATTTCCCTATGACTCTACATAGTATATGATGTAGAAAATGTTAGGGTTCAGAGCCCACGGCCAAGAAAGAATTCTTGAGATGTCTTTGATATAAAAAGGTGGGTTTATTAAAGTGTGGGGACAGGACCCATGGCAGAAAGAGCTGCACTGGGTGACTGATTATGTACTTTCAAGTTGGAAGGGGGTTAGGGATAGCTTAAGTCTCTAAGGAATTTTTGGAAGCAATGTTTTCAGGATCCTGAGGTGGCTGGCTATTGTTAGGAAAAACCTCAGGCATGAGACCATTCGGATGCGTTATCAGTGGGCCATATGCTTGGAGGCTGATTGCTAACATATATCTGGGGGGTGGAAGTAAAGGAAGTTTCCAAAGGAATTTTTATATGATAAAATAGATTTATAGGATTCTGGGGTGTGGGGAGGTGGTTGGGCTAAGATTGCCTTTTGCCCTTAGCAAAGTGTCCTCATCGAGGAGGCTGAGCTCCCGGAGGAATGTCACTCTGCCTGTCTTGAGGACTTGTTAAAAGGCTGTAAGTTGTAAGGAAATTTAATTTTTTCTTTTGCCTTTGTTTTCCACATCGGTATACACATTTTATCTACTACCTATGCGACATACACCGCTGTGCACCATTAAACATACCCTAGCGAAGCGCCGTAATTTTCAGATATTTTCAGCGCCGTGATCATTCCCCAAATGTGAAGGGCTTTCAGTTGTTTTATCCCTTAAGTGTTGCAATGAGTACAGCTGTTCTTCCTTTGTCTCAGAGATGATTTTTTGTTCCTTTCGCATATGTCTTTGTTTCTTTGTGTGCCTGTTTGGGTACAAACAGGCAGGCTTTGTATTGGTTCCCTTTTTGTGCTTATTTCTATGTTATGCTCCAAAAAGGGATTTGCTGGTTCAAAAAACATGACCAGTTTTCTGGCCATTATTGGCTTTTGCTAATCTTTAAAGAAAGGATGTGGTCATTTTCCTAGGCATTTTCTAGTCATCTGGTAGACTTTTGCAAAATACTCATTGGTGAATGCTCTTTTCTTTTAAGTTTATTTATTTATTTTCAAAGAGGCAGGGAGAAGGGGCGGAAAGAGAGGGAGAGAGAGAGAGAATCCCAAGCAGGTTCTGTACTGTCAGACACTTAACAAACCGAGCCACCCAGGCACCCCAGTGAATTACTCTTTTAAAAGAAATCCTCATTCAGAACCTTCTAGATGAAGTCCAAGGATGAGTATTCCAGGCTCAACAATCCATTACTTGCAAAGCCTCTGGGTCCTAGGGCCATATCATTCATGACCCGGAGACCCACAAAATTGTAGCCTTGTTTGAATAGTGTAAGAGGCCAAATATCCTGCTGGAGAAAAGTCCTAGGTAGATGTAGATTGGGGGAAAAAACCATTCATTCCTAGTCACTTTCCTTTTTAAAGCATCACTAGTTACTTTTTAACCCTGGTAAAACAGAGAGGATCCTTGGCATAATATATGGGCACCTTTCATATAGATGAGTAATTCCATTTGTTTATCCGTTTAGACCCTGACTTATTGTAAAAGGGATTTAGATGTTAATTCCTTTATTTACGTTGAATAAACATAGCAAGACACGTGAGCAAGTGTGTACAAGCTTAGGGGAGACTTTACTGAGGAGGTAGAATTTGAGCAGTTCTCTGAAGGATGACGGGATTTCACCAGGTGGGCAAAGGAGAGGCTGGTTTGGGCAAGATGTGCTGAAGAGCTTGGATTTCATCTTGTTTGGTACCACTGAAGACTTTAAGGGAGCAGAAAAGCTGAACCCTGAATTAGTCCAACGACCTTTTATTTTACAAAGGTCTCAAGAAAACTTTCATGTCCTATTTTATTTTATTTCATAAATTCTCAGTCATGCATCACTGAATTTTTACCCTTGGTTAGGTTATATCAGAACCTCTCCGTATGCAGAAAATTCCAGAGGAGTCAGGACAAGCCCTTAGCATAGTAATCAAAGAGTATAATAATAGCATTCACAGAGAACATTGTATCTTTAAAAAGTTGAGAGCTATCCAGGATCTTGTCACTCCCAAAATATGTGTTGTGGTGGCCATTGTCCTCCCTCCTGGGTGAGAGCCTTATGCATCACCTTGGGGATGATGGTGGGGAGCAGGTTTTTCATGAGGCCAATTTTAAGTTCCCCAGGGTGACCTGGCTGAGAAAGGGTATATACCCATGAAGGCAGCAGTCCTGTTGACAGACAAGAACTGCTACTTTGTAAAGCAGAGCATGGAAATTGACACACACGAGGTGATTTTTAATGGAGTTGAGGATGGGAAGAAAGAGAAACAGACTGGGGTGATTCTGGGGGTGCAGGGGAGAGGTCCTGGATAAGGGATTATTTGGGGACAGCCTAGAAACCACACAGGCATCCCAGATGCCTAGGTTAGTGGAGAAGATCATAGAAGGAAAGGGATCATGAAAGAGGGTAAGGGAATGGAAGAGAAATTTTTGTCTGGGAAAGGTCCTGCCCTCCGTGACCTATTGAAGTTTATGAATTCCCACTCATCAAAGTCTTGCATTCTAGTCTGATTGGCTTTTGGGAGGTAAGAAGAAAGGCAAAGGCAAGTGACTGCAACATGGAGACTCAAGCCATACGGTCAGAGACAGAAGAGGAGTTAGGGAAGGGCCGCTGTAGGCCTTGGCCACAGAGCTGCTTCACCGAGACCTGTCTCTGCAACTGTGTTGCTGTTGTCTCTGCTCAGCAAATCTGAGGACAGTAAGGCATTGTGACCAGGGCTGGATAATACTGGCTGGACCTCTTTTCCTGCTGCCCACATGAAAGACTATCTTTACTTTGGATACTAAACCAAGGACAGATGCTGATACAACAATCTCCATGTGAAAGAAGATGCATATCTTGTGCATGGCTACTTTTTGAACCAAGTGGTCCAGATTTGTGTGAATAACCCTCCAGAAGCCTGCGCTTGGCCAGGGGAAGACCCTACTGTTCTGGGGGAATTTAGTTGCCAAGTGTCAGTTTGGGGGCCTGTTTTGACTCTACACATGTAGGATCTTTTTCCTCTGGAAGTCTTGATTCAGAAGCCCCCACTGCATGGGGCCATGTGGGTGCTGGGTTGCTTCGACATGGCTTTAGGAGGAACATAACCAGATAATGAAAGTGGGTGGTCTGCTGGGGGAATGAAAAGGTCATTGATCAAAATTAGCAAGTCACAATGCCTGGGTGGCTCAGTCAGTTGACTGCCCCACTTGAGCTTAGGTCATGATCTCATGGTTCATGAGCTTGAGCTCTACGTGGGCTCACTGCTGTCAGCACAGAGCCTGCTTCAGATCCTCTGTTCCCCCCTCTCTCTGTCCCTCCCCTGGTTGTGCTCTCTCTCTCAAAAAAATATTAGCAAGTCAAGAGAGAGGCCTGAGAGTTTGGGATACAGGATGAAGTTTAAGAAATGTTATTTCAGGTGGATATGTCCAAAAAGCTGCCATGTCTATAGTAGCAACAAGTGAAGCCTTCTGAGTGGGTGTGGCTATGGATGAAGACAAGAAGACGGTTTCCACAAGATTTCCTCGACTGTCTCAAGCCAGAGCCTCTTTTTATTTGCTGGTTAAGGAAGGTTGCAGAAGATCGGCCAGGAGGTACATATTTCTAGCTATACTTCTGAGGCTTGGGCGCCTGTCCAGGCAAGTTGTGGCATTTTCTATACAGGGCAAGGCAGCTTCCTTTCTGCAATGCATGTTTCCTTTTTCAGACAGGGACACATCTGTTTTGGAGGGAGGAATAGACCATTGCTTCTAGAACCATTTTCAACTCCATGCAGAAAAATGAACTCAGGGCTGAGGGTTAAGAACTGCAGGGGCGTATGTTGAAGCCAGGGTATGAAGAACTGCAGGAGAAGGTGGGTTGCAAAGTGAACTGTGTTAGGCTTCGTTTCAGCTGGGATCCTAGAGTGTCCGTGAACGACGGGACTGCAGGCCGACTTCGAAGCGTTCCCATCTAGAGGACGTGGGCTGGCAGCATCCACTTCGAGATGAGGAATGAAATCCTCAGGGACGCAGCCAGCCGTGGGGTCTCCCCCACGGCGGATCCCGTCCTCCTTCCACACCACGGGGCATTGCCGCCGGGCGAGGCTGGAGGGGCAGACGGCGGAGGGTGCTGTGCAGAGCTGGGTCCGGCTACTGGGCAGGTCAGAGGGGGGAGGCACTCCGCCAACGACTCTTCAGGTCCCGGGGCGGCCCCCTGGTGGCGGACGCCGTCTGGGGGCGTTCCTGGGAGCCCGGGGCCGCCGAGGTTAGACCCGAAGTCCCGGGAGGAGCCGGCCGGCGGCCACGTGACCGACCGCGGCGGGGCCGGCGGCCCAGAAATAGCAGCCGCCGCGGTCCCGCCCGCGGGCTGCCGCGAGCGAAAGGCGGAGACTGGCGGACGCAGGCTGGGCGCGGGCGCGGCGCGGCCCCGGCCCCGGAGGATGCTGAGCCCCTGCCCGGCCCGGCCCCGAGCACATGATGGCGATACGGGAGCTCAAAGTGTGTCTTCTCGGGGTGAGTCCTGCGCCGCCCTCCGCCGGGGACACCCACGTCCGTGCGCCCCCCCTCCCGCGGCCCCCCGCGCCCCCAGTCCCCTGGGTCCTCTTTCCCAGCCCGGCGGGGGTCGGGTCCGAGCCTGCCCCGGAGCCGCCCACTCTTTCAGCCCGGCCGGCCCGGCGCCCGGGAGCCGCGGGGGCCCCGCCGCGGTCGGGCCGGCCCGGGCCGCGGGACTCTCTGCGGGGACAGGCGGAGCGGCCGGCGCCGCTGTCCCTCCGGCCTCCGACGGCTTTCTCCTGCGCCTTTGATAATTTCCTTCCGGCGGAAACTTTAAGTTACTCAGCCAAGGCTCCAGATCCTTTTTGCCTCCCGGGGGGCAATGGGTCTATTCACTTTTGGGGGGGGGAGGGGGGAGGTGCGGGGGGTGGGAAAGAAAGCCCAGCCCGACGCGAGAGAACGCGAGGGGATGTCCCGGCTGGAGGGTGAAGAGAAAAGTACTGGAGAGCATTGCGCCCGAAAACTTCCGTGCAGGATGAGAAAATCCTCCCCTATCAACAGCTTCCCCTCCCGGAGTGGGTCTTCTGAGCCTGAGGAAATGTGAAAGAAGCCAGAAACAAAGACCGACAGAAATACCCAAGCCCTTTGCTCTGGCAGACCTGCCGGGTGACACAGGGCAGCCCCTGGAAAACCGCCGCGGAGAGTTCAGATAGTATTAAGGGTCATTTCCTTTCGGGTGCCTACATCAAATTCCGGAATGTCTGCTTTTGAAAGCTGGGTTTAAGCCGTGTTTTCAGCAGCCTTCGGCATCCGCGCCTGGGGTACTGCCCCTGGCAAATCTGCTCTCCCAGGAAAACCGTTTCCTACCCGGAGAGCAGCAGAAGGGTAGACCCTTTGTTATTTACAAGAGACGCTAACTGGGCTGTGGAGGTGGGAGATGGATGTCCTGCATGTTCCGGAAGCCTATATTGGGGAAACAGTTCCAGGTTAACATTGAGTTTAGCAGACCCGCCAGGTGTCTGGGCTCCATACAGGCTCTTTTTGGAACTTCTGGCTGGACGACGTTCTTGACTGTCTCCCATCACTGCCTGTTGCCAGAGCCGTCGTTGACACCAGATTGTCCGGTTCGCCTCGAATTCCGGAGGACCTGCAAAGGCCCTCCCTTCTCTGTCCCCCTGGGCACAAACCACCCAGTGCTCCTGCCCTCCTGCCTTGCTCAGCCACAGCTGGGATCTGGAAAAGGATCCTGTCCTGCTCTTCCTCTGTTGACCTTTATTCGTGTTGCAGGGTTGGTTTTACCCGCTGCGGGGCTCTCCAGCATGGTTTCCACACAAATTCCAGGAGTCTTGTGTTTTCCTTGCGAGGGGTCATTTCAGCCTCATGTGCGCCCAGGAATCAAGACACAACTCTGATGTGTGCCAGGATTGGCCTTGGGAGTAAAGGAAGTAGGAAATGTTTTGGCTTCCCCTAACCCCCCCTCTCCCCCCCCCCCCAATGCGTTCTCCTTTGTCATCTACTAAGGTGGCACAGGTCCTACTCATCACAGGAATTATTTTCACTGGTCAGGGAGGAGTCTCTGTATCCTTCTACGAGGAAATAGATCGCTTGCTGTGCAGTTCTGGACAAGTCCTTCAGTCGCCTCATCCATAAAATGGGTGTCGTAACATCTTCCCTTTTAAGGCAGAGGATGATACCAGATGATCTGCTAGGATATAGGGTACCATTTCCTGCTAAGCTGTGACTCCAGGGTGACAGTTAGTAAGCCTGGGATATGGGACAGCTGGAGGAAGTCCCTTTACTTCTTTTCTTTTATCTCTAAGAATGAAATGTATCCTTTTAGTGGCTTCCTCCAGACAGTGCCTCACCCTTGTTTGCTGGTTCTTTGCAGTGGCTCTGTCGGTAGGAGTTTGGCTTGTGAGGAAACAGCTCTGCCGGAGCGGAGCAAGGGTATTTCTGGGCAGATGGAGGCTTTGAAGCGTGATTCGTGTAACACCATGTCAGCAGCCTTCCTTTTTGTGAGAGTGGCTCTAGGTTTTAGTCTTGTTTAGGTCAGAGGGCCCATAACCTCATCCCCCACGCCGAGTAAAATTTTGTTAAGTCTTGTGGTTTGGTTGGGCCTGTCCTGGGTAAGATGTGTGCGATAGGCTTGATTCTTAGCCGCTCATTCCTAGAGGGGATTCTCTGGGTGAGATGGCGTTTGGGTGAGTTCAGAGCCATTTTAACCACCTTGGGCTCACTGTCTTAATTTGAGAGAGAACCTTGTAAGTCATCACTGACTAAAAGAAGGAATCATGTACAAGTCCAGAAGTTCTCAAAATTTTAGCAGGAGCCTGGGGCTCTCTTGGGTTCTTTCTGTCAGGAGGTCTGTCTTTTCCAGATGAAGTCTTACACATGACTAGCACTCAGCTTCCTCTTTTTCAGTGACCACATCTTCCTGAAGTCTCAGTAGGACTGAGATGTAGAAGCCATGCCTTCTGTCATATCACTTTCTTTTGTGCCCCCTTGAGAAGGTGATAGAGAGTGCGGAGCTCCTAACTGAAGTCTGGCTGCCTCACTGGGGAGGTTGACAGGCTAGTCTGTTTGTGGCCTGGCCACTGGCACATAGTGTTCCGTGGCTATTCGAGGATACACTTCCCATCTAAGGCACAAAGTTGTTTTAAGTGTGGGCAGTGCAGACTTTCATCCCTCTTAGCTGTGGTCTGCAGCCTCCGTGGGGTCGGAGGTTCCCGATGGGAAGGTCATTTGCAACAGGTGGAAGCCAGAATAAGCCAGATGACAGGTCTTCTCCACCTGTACCTGTGCCTTTCATGACCCTGACATTCAGTGTGTCTATCTTCTTTCTTTCTTTTTTTTTTTTATGTTTTATTTATTTCTGAGAGAGAGAGAGAGAGAGAGAGAGAGCATGAGCAGGGGAAGGTCAGAGAGAAAGGGAGACACAGAATCTGAAACAGACTCCAGGCTCTGAGCTGGCTGTCAGCACAGAGCCTGACACGGGGTTCGAACCCACGAACTGAGATCATGACCTGAGCCGAAGTCGGATGCCCAACCAACTGAGCCACCCAGGCGCCCCGTGTCTATCTTATTTCTTTTGGTGAGTGATCCCAGATGGAGTCAACAGCAGACTAGGGGGCATTCCCTGAATGCTTTGCGCATTCTAACCAAGGACTTAAGAACATTGGGTTTATTTAGGCTACCTGTTATAAATTCTTGGCTCTCGTTGCTTTCATGGGTGGACTTTCTCGTGTTTATCCTAAGCCTCTGTGAATGCCTTTTCCTGGGATAAGCCAGGGTGCCGTAGAAGCTCGCCACGCAGGAGGGTGTGCTTGCCAGGGGCACACACTGAAAAGGGGTCCTGATTAGACACTTAGGACCCATGAGTCCCATTCTTGTCCATAAAGTGCCAACCATCCCCCTTTGTAATCTGAACTAGTATTATGAAACATGTAGCTTAAAAACAACCCCCTTAAAAACAGCTAAGTATGTTAAAAAAAAAAAAAACCTAACAAAAACAATATCGAGGCAGCAGCTGTTCCAACCCCAAAGGTGGAAAGCTTCCCAGTGTGCATTTTTAACACACATCACCACGTGGCAAAAAGCAAGGGGAGAGGGAGAGAAGGGAAAAGAGGAGGAGGAAGAGGAGGAGGAGGGGGCAGAGAGGCTCTAACTTTTCTTTTATTATTTCCTCTGGGTGTGTGCACTTAAAAACTGCTTCCGGATGGAATCCCAAAGAGATTTATATTTGGACTTTGGTTGTCTTGACGACAGTTTAGAGATTTCTGCCACTTCCTCAACGGCTTGAGTGGCATGGTTAAAACACAACTGAGGGTGTCCCTGCTTCTGGTAAGGAGGCTGGTGCTCATTTTTCTGTTAGGATCTGGGTGATGCTTCATCACAGAGCAAACACCTGGGATTGGCACGGCATCTGGGCAGCGGAGACCTCAGATACATGCAGGGCCTTCTTGTGAGGGGACTGTGTGATCCCCAGAGGCTCTAGGACCCAAGGGTGGGACAGATTTCTGCTCCTAGTAAGCAGATCAGTCAGAGCTATGGAGCCTCAAATGGACTACTTTGAGTGATAGTGAGCGCTCCGTCACCGTAAGTATTCATAAGGCTATGGGTATCTGGTAGGGTCATCGTGGAAGGAAGGGATGCGTAGGATGGGGAGGATTGGGCCAGGCACTCATCAGAATTGCTTTCCAAGTACGAGATTCTAACATATTCCTTTTCACTTTTTCCCGGAAACCAGCATTTCTTGGGGTGTGGGGGTTGGTGGCGGAGGGTGTAGAGAGGCTGGAAACTTAATTTGTTTCTTACCAAACCTGATTCCTCTATTAAATTGAACTCTTTGTGGAAAGCGTGGTACTGGGTTGAAAATAAATATGAATGACATGGTGGGACATCTTCCCGGGAGCGCCCAACGTATGGTAACACCAAGCACCCAGGCCAGGCTGATGGACTCCACCAGGGTCTCTTTGTTCCTTTTTTGCTCAAGGTCAGTGTGGCTACATCTCTCTCTCAGCTTTCCGAGCTCAGTGCTCCTTGGGGTGTGCGTCAGAATCACTTGCAGAGCATTTTCAGCAATCCCTGTGGTCCGTCCCCATCCCTCGTGAGACATGTGCCCTCCCCCCTCCATTCCCCTGACCCGGTGTCAGTGTTCTCATGAATGTGTCTGTCATATCCCTCGGGACTGCTCCAAGGCCACTGCCATTGGAAAATACAAAACTTAAGATGCTGAGGTGTTAGGGCACGAAAAGATTTTGAGCTCATAAGTTAGAAAAGGTCTTCACATTTAGTTTTGTCCAACAGGCTAGACTACTTTTAGGGCTTGCCTGTCTCTGCAGATACTATACTTTGATTTATCTTTATTTTTACAATTTCTAATATGTGGTTGAAAATGGAATAGGCATTCATTCACTCAACTGCTCACCATTTATCCAGTGCTTCTTTCATGCCAGGAGCTGCGGTGGGTGGCTGCAGGTAGACAGGACGGCCACGAGCCTTGTCTTTGAAGCCCTCTACCT